GAATTCTGCTAAATCACGTTTATATTCCTCTGTGCGAATAGTGCCAACTTGTGTGGTGCTGTGACTGCACGGTGCTTCAGGTGTTATGGGGCTGGCGCTCACGCTGTGATGCGTCGTTACGGTTACACGCTCCCTGTTGGCAAACAATAACCACGTAAATATAAATTGATTTAAAGATTTGGATGTTATTGACATGGTCACTTCTTATTAAGTAGTAGGTACTTAGGACTATAGGACTTATAACTGTTTACCACTTTGGGTATTTACTATTATGGATACTGCCCAAATCTCTTAAGCAATTTGTCTAACGCCTGGTAAAGCTCACAACATATCATAGAACAAAACTATGAATCATTGCTACAATCATCGTTGCTCATTTTTTACAGCTGTCTCTCAGCAAGGCCTATAGGTACTCTGAATCATTTTTTAAGCAAGGCGTTAAACCAACAATAGTCTGAGAAAAAACCTTAACAATATAAAATACAAATAACAGCAACTAATGGTAGTTCGGACGTCATTCAGACAGCAAAAGCGTGGGACAGTCGCGGGTCACCGGCGACGCAACGTCGAGATCTACTCGAAATAAATGGAATTTTGTATTGAATTTGGACGGTTACGCTTTGGTTTCAGGTGTTATTTTTAGAGTTATAAAAAATGTTAAGGCTCCGTAACGCACTAGTTTAAATTCTTTTATTTTTATAAAGTCAGTTTTTTCTTTTAAATCCTTTATCTCTCAGACAGGCTTAGCTACATAGCCCCGATTAAATAACATCCAGTAGCAAAAAAACAATGGACTCTACAAATAAGAGAGCAAAGTAAGAGGCGATCATAATCATGAGTACCAACGCGGGACGATCGATACACTTTTACCGATTACCAATTTGATCAGGCTCGCAAAATTTGTTCCCAGGCATTGTATATCTGACATCAATTTTATCTCTTGTGAAACAGCTCTCCTAGATTCAATAAACTGATAGATCGTGTCTATCAAAACGTAGTTATATCACTAAAATGTCTAGTACTAAAATTTTGAAAGAGAAAACACGGACATTCAAGTCTGCCATTTTGATACTCCTTTTTTGTCACGCCCCAAGTTTTTGTCAACGAAAGCGAATGGAGAAAGGAATTTCATTTATATTTCGTACTTATTTAAAATACATTTAAAAGAGTAATGAGCTATTAAAGTGGTATCCATTTATACCAAACAATTTTACACGTATGTCTCTATGGGTCATTATGTTCATTTATAGAATCGGCTACGAAACTAAGTGGTTGTGATGTATTCTAATTTTATAACAATTATATAACTTATTAGTTTCCACTTAGATACAAAAGCACTTCAGTAATTAAGGTACTTAAGTCACAAGTGATTTAGTAAGGGTCATACAAAGGTTCAACAACGTCGCAAACTTTTTGCTTAGTTAGCAGACTTCTTTGTTACACAGAATTTAAAGTCATCCATTATAATCTTCAATACGCCGGAAGTAATAACAAAGGTTTATTTTATAATTTCGATTCGATACAAACAATACATTACGTAACATTGTAATTAAACTAGAAAGCACCTCGCGAAACCCATATCTTGGGACCCGAAGATAATGCTTACATAAATAAGAAGCTGTCGGTGTCCAGCCAACAATTTTGGTTATTTGTAAAGCAAGACATCACTATCACAAATAAGTTGAGTGAAAGTGAAATTTCAATAACACTGTTTTAGAACCATTGAAAGGCTTCAGATCGAATCGAAGCAGTAATTAATGGAGGCATCAATCACGACCATGTACAAGGAGGCATTCTTTTCCAAAATTGCTCAATCGTGCGCGCTGAATGAGGCTCCAAAAAAAAAAACCATGGACATATTTCTTTCGAGTTCCTGCGCATGATTTGAATGATGAACGAAAGTATTTTCTATGAAAGAAAGTCAGTTCCTTTGTTTGTCCCAACAATAATTCTTAAATACTTAAACATGGATTTGAGATGTTATGACCTGTGAATATACTTCATATTGTTGTCGGAGATAGTTCGAGACGCTTACTATAAAGTACAATAGGTTTTCAGTAGGCAGACGTTACACGCTTGTAATTGTGAATGTTAAAAGACGAGTACAGTTATAAAATAAACATGGTGAGTGTCTGGTTGTAACTTTTGAAATGGTGCACGTTATTCCCGATTTCGCGATAAAATCTAACAAATCTGAAAATATTGTTTATTTAATACAATCCGCTGGTTCGATATAATATTATGTGATCACTAGTGATCAGATATAGAAAATGCCTATCGCATTTGGTTGTTTTATTCTCAAGGAAGGCTAACATCACGCCTTTGCCAAAGGAAAAGAGCACGCAGCTGATGAAACGCAAGAAAATTGATAACTTTCGCTTTCACGTTTTTAATAAATTCACGACTTTGACCCCTGGGGTTGTCTTACGTCATGTGGTACAAAGATCTGATTAACGTTAGCCAAATTTGGACTAAGCTCTGTGCACCTTAGAGAACCCTTTTCGCTATAGATATCTACTTCAAGAAATCCAGAAGTTGTGCAACGGGTAAACTTAAAAACTAGCTAAATATGAATCGGGAATGAACAAAAACTTTGCTGAAACTTGAAGGGAGCGTATTTTTGACCATCGCGAAAATCACAGCTAGGTCCTAGTTTTAAGAAAATATTTAAAGATGTTTGTCAAAATTGGATTAAAACACTTAGGTACTTACGGTTCACCGCAAGTAACGTATTCAATTAAATCAAAACAGTCGCTGCCTAAACTAAACACTTTTTACACAAATAAAAACAATTTCCTATCAAAATCTCGCGAACTGGCCAGTGACCAAGTAACCACAGACATCTACGAAGGAAGAATGACCAACGAAAACTTTCAATTAAATTCTTTAACAAAATTACGATACATTAGTGTTATCAACCGGTAGGTAAAACAATTATTTTTGTTGCCTACAAAACAGACAACAGTCAAACAGATGATTATGTGAATGAACTTATTTCGAAAAGTCGTTGAACTCATCGTAACTTTTAACCTAATTCAAAAGATATTTTACGTCTCAATTTTGTATGATCATAACGAAAAAAATAATAATATTTACCAATAGCTGGATTAGATACACCTGTCCTGAAGTCCAGGAAATGACTAAACTAGGAATGATGATCGAACTAGATTTCGTTGCAATAATTAACTGCGTTCACCATAATTTGTATTGGCAATGGTACACAAAGCTTTGGCCTTTATTGGATTGGAATCAAACCTATTGTGGGTAGGTACAATTCCGATGATTCAACGATAGGTGATCCACTTACATCATCCTGGGGCTTTAGCTTTGTGTATGGTGTATTGTAATCGACATTTTTGTTCAATTCTACATTGGACTAAAAGTAGGTAAGTACCTAACTGTTCATGCAATAATCTGTTAGGTGCAAAAACTGAGATGTTTAGGTACTAGCTACGAACATTTATGGGTAGGTATTTAAAAATAATCATTCAGCACGATCTCAAGTCAAGTAAAAAAAGTAGGTATAAATAATAATGTGATAACTTTGTGTTCATTCAAAATGGAAAGATGATGCCTACTTGTAATGTTTTAAAAAGATAACAATTCCAAGTGCAAAATTAATTTAGAAATAAAAAACATGATAAAAATACGTACTCACCGGCGTAACCACTTGAAAACACCCATATCCTGCAAAGTATCCACTTTTTGTTCGGAAAAAACTAACACAATGAAACGAGACGTCTGCAATTAGCAATTAAATAACATTTATCTAATATAAATAAGTTTTTAAACTAAAACAGAAAGTTCGTCGATGCGAGGAGCCGTATACGAGGAACATTACCGGCGCATTAGAAGTCCGATCGTTATAAAAAACGACTAGCAACAATGACCACCGATATATTGTGCGGTCAGACAAAACATCACGAACAACGCGGCATTCGCAATGAGTTGAATTTGGTTTTTTGTACAAATTACTTTTCGTTGCGCTCCGGTGATCCACTTCATGCGCGCCGGTCGACGAGCGTCGGCCCTCCTCAACTCTAGTCTGCTGCGGTCACAGACGGCTCGTGAACCATACGACGTGCACTTACTACCGTACAATACCTGATTCTAATTTAGGTCATACATTTAGGGTAGGAAAAAATAATGTAAACTAATAGGATCAAACTGTTTACCTTATAGCAGTGTTCGTTTCAGATTTACAACGACTCCTCGAAGTTTTCTTAGATTTGTATTCGTACAAAAACTTCTTCATTGTTTCATTATTTTGCATCACATATAAAATATAAAAAATTAGTGGCACATAATTCGTAGACTTAGTTGTAATTATAAATATAATTATTCATAGAAATTAATGCAAAATAGAAGACTCGAAGTTGAAAACTGTTGTTGGAATTTAATGTCATTTTCCGGAAATAAAACCAATAAATAATTACTGTTTAATGTTTATTAATTGTTTAAAACAATCCAACATAATTATTTAATGAAGTAGAAGTATCTACTAATAAATATATGTTTTATTCTGAAAGTTTTGAAAAGATAAGCCCATTTTATGAAAGATATTACAATTTTAATAAGTTTTTCATTCTGGATTTTTTACTTCCGGTGTCATGGAGCATAATTTACAGATTGCATAATTTACAGATAAATTATGCAAATCGATTTCCATGGTTTCATGTTTTCTTTTCTATAAAAGTTAAATATTTTGTAATAGACATTTAAACGTCTATAAAAGTATATTATAATATATCGTGATCATATTTATGTCATTTTGTATATTATTATTGTTCTTAGCATGAAATTTACTAATTATTTCAATTTTATTGTTTCAATTTTAAACAACTTTTACAGCTGGCAACCAGTAAAATTAGTTTTTATTATGTGCTTTTAAGCTTGCAACATCACTATTAAAATGTCATCTTTGATTTTGGAAAGCAATGTTTACAGTTGCATTTGATTTGAATTTTTACATTTTTAGCCATTTTTCTAATAAAATATAGATGGACGAATTACGGGGACCAAATATACAAATAGTCCTACATGTAAAAGAAGGCATGTCTTTTCGCACTTTTCCCCAGTGACTTCGAAAAGATTGTACAGCTGTAGTAAACATTTGAATTTATTTGGTATGTTTTAGGTCTTGGTTTTGGATTTTTGCGGACCCCGTTTATAGTAAGTGGTTCTCTAAATGGTTATATGTTAGAGACTGATCCTGTCGTGCCGTCACATGCTCCTGTCTTTGATGCGGAACTTGTTTGGGAGGCCGACAAACGAAGGTTTCGAAGGTAAACAAATTACTCTTGTTTTGCTCATTTTACGAAAGAAAAGAAACAAAAAAGTGTGAGCTTCATCTATTTCTTTCAAGTAAATCTTTGTTGTGGCACATTTTGATTGCCACAAATATCAAATGTCGTGTTTAAAACAGACATTTCTTGTAATATGAGAATAGGTTTGTGATTTAGCAAAACAGAACACCTTATCACTATTTTGAGTAGGAAATAAGTAGTATACTACATCAATGGAACTGATAAGATTTTAACCAAACACTTACAATCCATTTTTTACATAAATATGTTCAACAACCTCTAACTTAATTGCAGCTTACGAGTTCAGAATGTGCCTGTGAAAGTGGAAGTCTTCACAACAAGTACACAAGGCCGTAAGGACAAAGTGGGGTACTTACTGCTGAGCCTACTTGGAGCTCAACCATGCCCTTCCAACAAAGTCGTAGAGGTAAGTACTTACTAAGTTGGTTTCCATGTTTCATTCTCAGAGTTTGGAATTACCAAAACAAATAGTACCTGTAAACGGGCTATTTTGTAGCCTTATTTACTGGTTTAATAAATTACATTTATTTAAGCCATTGGTCATACTGACTAAGTCAATATATAATATTATATTACAATCTGTTCTTCAATATTACATTGTATGAGACTATTGGAATTGTTCTGATAATGAGTGCTTTATTATAGCCTAATCCTAATCAATCAGAGCTTTGTAGGTTATGGCTTCTAATCATAATGGAACATATTGTTACATTCCTGGGACCATGAGACTGAGTAGCTTTTCATTTTTACTACCATTTTAACAAATTACAAAGTTTTCCCACTCTGGGATTTTCTCCTTTGTCGTGGTGCGTTTACAAACATACAAGTACACATACATGTCACACCCAGACCTGAAACAACACTTTGTGAATTACATAAAGTGTTGCTCCGTGCGGCAATCTTACTCCCTACGTACAGCGGCTGGATGCCCAGCCACCGCGCTAAATGTGCAGTCAACACTACATTATGTTACTTGAGACACAACTGTTTTTATGGTTTCTCATACCTTGTTGTTTTTTATTACAGGTCAAACACTCGTGGCACCGGCTGCTTGGTGTAAAGTCAGAAGGAAAATGCTGCCATCCGCAGTTGTTGATGAGTCTCTCTATTGAAGACAGGATTAACACACCAACTCCTGTAAGCACTCATATTTATAAGTTAGACCATAGACAGTAGACACCAGACAATAACCTACTTTTTTACCCGACTTCAAAAATGTGGAAGTTCTCAGTTTCACCTATATGAATGTTTGTGCGCGATTATCTCGTGATGAGTTTCGTCTTTTTTCTTTTCTTTTTCGAAAAACGTTGCCCCCACACTAGGATTGTCTCCTGTGTCGTGGTTGTCGTGGGTGCGTTTACAAACATATAAGTTCACATACATAGGACACTCAGACCCGAAACAACAATCTGTGGATCACACAAAGAGTTGTTTCGTGCGGGAATCGAACCCACAACACAGTTGCCCAACCACCTTGCCAACTGTGCAGTCAAACCACAGTTGAACCGATTTTGATGCGGTTTTCAGAAAAGTGTTCAACAGACTTAAAAAAAAGGTAGTTGAAGTCGGTTTTTTTTAAATATAGTCTATAAAAGAATTATTTAATTACTTGATATATCTTACCAAAACCTCAAAACTTCGTTCATAGAAATGTAAGTCTCTAAACATGGGAAATAAGGTCTATAATGGATTCAGTGAAGAGTGGTCACTGATGATTGCTTGGGGATTGATCAGTTAAGCTGTTGAAATATCATCCTCTAAATTTGTTCATACAAAAGTAGTCTCTAAACATCGGAAATAAGGTCTATGATTGCCGCTTGGGGTACTTAAATGGTGTGATCATGTTTGTTTAACATGTCATCTATACATACTGTCTTTCACTCACTCTCATGTCACAGTTCTGGATATGGCAGTTAGGTAAGTTAGTACCAATAAATATACTAGGTCTCTAGTTACAAATTCTTATACCGTTATGTGCTAATCATATGTGAAATGCACTTTCATTTATGTGAAAGTTGTCTAGATTTTTCCAAATTATTATGTACGAGTGTTAGACTGCAAAGTGGGTCCTGAATCATACCAACAAAATTTTCTTTTACAATTTACATTAGTCTCATCATTTCAGTTATTACCTGAAGATTAGTCACATCATTTTAGTTATTACCTGAAGATTAGTCACATCATTTCAGTTATTACCTGAAGATTAGTCACATCATTTTAGTTATTACCTGAAGATTAGTCACATCATTTCAGTTATTACCTGAAGATTAGTCACATCATTTCAGTTATTACCTGAAGATTAGTCACATCATTTCAGTTATTACCTGAAGGTCCCTTTCCTTTGTCTTCAGCTCTCATCCAATTGAGTAGTCTAATGGGTAAAAAATAAATTATTTTGATTTTTCAGTCCAATTAAATATTGAAAAATAGTTACACTCACTTTCAAAATATGATGACGTCATAAGATGATACTTCGTACAAAATTCATAGAACAGTTTTGATGTTTCGATAAAAGTATTGAATTTGACTAGTTCTCAACTACCATATTATTACTAACCATTTTACAGCTATTCTCACTCTACCTACCTCGTTATAGGTGAAACTCATATTTATGTAAACTGCTTTGAAATATTTCCTGTCATGCTACAAGTGATTAAAACCATACCATTAATCGATAACGGGTCATGTTTATTCATATTTTAGTTTTTATATCGCATGTCTCTAATCATACAATGGCGATTGATTCAATATTGTTTATGAAACTACTAAGTGTACTAGTTGTCTATTAAGTAAGTTTACAAGCAGTAATTATTTAACGGAATGTGGAAGTTAGTGATTATATTCGATAATTTATTTGAAGTAAGAAGTGGTTTGATTACTACACGTTTTTTGGTAATAACTTTCCTCTAATTGGAAATAATGTAAGACATAATATTACGCTATAGAACAGATTTTATGTTGAGCAGTGACTACAAACAATGGGGATGATGACAGGGTATGAAAATTAAAAATATAATTAGTCCGTAAGTTAGGTAATGAAAAAATATTAGACACGTATTTTTTTATTTTGTAGTATAATAAAACAATACTTAGATAAAACGAATCAAAGTTTAGGAGTGGGGGCTAAAACGTCATTCCTTAGTATAAAATGTACTGAGAAGTGACGTCACGCGACATTTCAAATCAATCTTCGAAACTATTCGTTTCTGTGAGAAAATAAAAAATACGTGTCTAATGTTTTTAAATAATCTACCAGACGGACATTAAAATAAAAATTAGTCGTCTATTGGCTAGTTACCTAGGTTTTAAAGTAAACTATTTCAACTTTTTAATGCGATAAAAAATTAAAAAGTAATCATACTCTCATCCATTGATTTGACAATTAACCTACTTCTGGATTTTTTCTCGCTAATTTTAAGGAAATAAGTATGCTATTTGACGCAGAAATATGATGACGTCATAAGTTGCGATCCAATATAAAATTCATAGAAAAATATCGTTTTTGACATTTCAATAAAAGTATTGAATTTGACTACCTGTCAACTACCGTATTAAAGATTGTGTATGAAGTTTACACCGTTTGTTTTGTGTTAACAAGATATTGATATTGAGTCCTACTGCACCCTTTTCGTTTGTGTAAGTTAAGCTCTGTGTGTGTTGTTCTCAGCGCAATGAGCTGCGTATGTTCCACAGCAATGAGGTCGCCTACCCACCTGCAACCTCCACGTCGAATCCTCCCACTGCCAAATCTATGTTGATGACTTTGAGTAAGTATTACCTACATACCTTCAATGGACTTAATTTCACTGTTCCTTTGTTACTGGCAAAGAGATTCTACATAAAAAGACGTAGATTTCGGAGTTTCTATTTACTTTCATCTTATCCTGAAAACGCTGAGACTCTTGTATTTCATAAAGGGGTAAAGCAAAACTATGTCTATAGGCGTTTATGGGTCTCCCGTCCCATTGGGTTCAGAGAGTAAGGGAGCAAAGAGTGCTCCTGTGTTTACACATACACTGGCGCATTATAACACCTCCTGCGTTGGACTAGTCTAATTAGACTGGCTACCATTATCGGAATCGATGCATACACAATATATTGTTATTCTTCGTGAACGAAATAAGACTCCTTGTATCGCAGCATTGTTTTTTTTATGCGATAAGCCGGTAAACGAGCAGACGGATCACCTGATGGTAAGCAATCGGCGCCGCCCATGGACACCGTAAACACCAGAGGCGTTACAAGCAGTGTTGCCAGTGGCCGATAGTCAAAAGTTACACAAGACTGATCAAAAAGTAACATTTTGTCAGAAAAAGTAACATTGCCTTTTTTTTTGTGGAAACTGGCAAAATACGTAAACAATGGTATTTTTTTTATGAAAATAAAATACACTGCCTTTTTTGTGGAAACTGGCAAAATACGTTATAATGACAGTTAATTTAAATGAAAATAAAATACGTCCTTGACTCTTTTATTAAAAGTTATAATTTGTAATAATTGAGTTGTTGATCGCATAATCGACTGTTGACGCTGAACAGAAAAAAGGTAAAAATTAGTTAGGTATTTATACCTATGTAAAGTACAGATCAATTTATGAATATCGTACAATACCAACCTGCTTTGTAATCAATGAATGTTTAAAAAAAAAAATTTAAAAAGATTCCGCCCCTTTATTAAACTTAACAATTCGTTATATTATTGTTGATTGAAAAATCGACTGACGATGCTGAAAATAAAAGGTCAGTCCAGTGTCAGTCTGTCCAACAACGCTATGTTGTATTCTATCAAGTGTGCCAACATGACATGACAATTATGTTCATAAGTGCGTTCTACGATACACGATTTTGTTCGAAATTCTCAAAAGTAACATAAATGTAACATTGAGTGTGGTGTAACATGGAAGTAACATGTGAGGGCCAAAAGTAACGTAAAATGTTACAAAAGTAACATTCTGGCAACGCTGGTTACAAGTGCGATACCGGCCTTTTGGGGATTGGGAAATTGAGGATTGTGGGGGATTCGGGGATTGGGGATACTGGGGATTGGGGGAGGGTTTGGGCCTCCTCCATTAAACATGCTTAATTGTACTTTTTATTTTCAGAGGAATATGTAGCAGAAAGTAAGAAGACTGCGTCGTCTCCGGAGCTGCAACCGAACCTGCTGTGTGATGAAGGGCTCATACGGATTGGTGCCGGGAAACAACTGTTTGTCCTCAGCTTCGTTATTGGCGCAGTTGAAAATTTTGACTTGGTATGATCAAAGTTATATTTGAAACTGATAGTTCCATTTTCTGATGAAAAACAAGTTACTAAAAATGACGAATTAATTGACTCGAAACAAGTAGAGCTTTTCTCAGCATATTTACGTGAGTAATTCGTCATTTTTATTAATTCGGTATGTTTCCCGATATTTATTCTAAAGACACGTATATTATTAGGCTTTTTTTTAAAGGGGGGAAAATAATCGAATGACTACTCCCGTCTGCGTTTTTAGGCTATATTATTAGGCTAGAAATGAAACTTATAATTGATATTGGTAATAAATATTTTTTCAGTTGTTACCTGATCGAAATTCCAGCAAAGAAGTGGATTGTTATGTCACCTATTCGGTTTTCACACATAACATCATGACGGATCGGTATGTATACTTAGAGAAATAAAAACATCTTAAATGACCATGCCTGTTTATCTCAGACCATTGCAGATAGTGATTATAGGATCAATGATCCACCCTATGTGCTCGACCCTATTACCAAATCGGCTATGAAACTAGACTCTGTTATAATACTGAGAAATAATAACATCGCGCCTAAAACCACTCCATCAACGCCAAATTACATTTTATATAGTAGTCTAACATCTGTACAGATTAATAAAATTGAAGTATCGGTTTGTTATATTAAAATAACTGCTTTTTACTACATGCGTATGAATATACATGCGATATACATACAAAAAAAAAACATTTTTTTAATTTTTTTGTCTGTCTGTCTATATGTTTCTACTGGTTAATCTCTGAAACGACTGGACCGATTTTGACGGGAATTTTACTGACAGGTAGCTGATGTACTAAGGAAGGAGTAACGTTATTATTTTGGAAAATTGAAACCAAAAAAGTTATGTCCTAAAATTCAAATTCTACGCAGATGAAGCCGCGGGCAACAGCTAGCACGACATATACTATTTACCTACACATAATGTTTGTTATCCTTCAGAATGTCAGCATCGTCATCTTCCAACGGCGGCAGTACAGTCCAGTTCAACCAGCGCACGTCGCTCCGCCTGGCGTCGGAGTTAGCGACCCTCGGCCGATACTTCACTGACTGTCCACACCTCGTTATCAGGGTCTGGGCTGGGGAGAAGGACGTTGGTGAGGAATATAGGCTTTTCATATGGAAATATGTATAATGATTTTAGTTATAAATTGTAATGGCTTCTTCTGACTTGCTAAATTCAATGTGGAACAATGAGAGAGCCGTGTTTTTCGTATGAATAACTTTAATGAAGTGTCTTAATAACTAACTTACGTTACTTACTTATAGGGCGAGGTGTCACATACACATTACACACAAACCGTCATAAATGTTTCACTTATGACTGAAAAATAAGCTCTGTAGAGTTTAAGCAGACATCCTTACTAATATTATAAATCGGAAAGTGAGTTTGTTTGTTTGTTCCACTTTCACACCGTAACTACTAAACCGATTGCTTTGAATTTTTGCAGACGTGAAGTTAGAATTCTGGATTAAATAATAGGATACTTTTTATCCCAGAAAAATTTGATATTCTCGAGGTAAAACGAAATTATTGGTATAGATGGCGCTGTGTGTATTGGTATATGTCACATAGGCTACTTTTTATCCTTTTGTGACGCGAGCGAAGCCGCAGGTAAAAGCTAGTTAAATATAATGCTTTAATATAATCTCGATTGACACAAAAATTCATATTAGTTTTAGCTAAGCTGCGAACGATAAATAGCATCCTATATTTTGGAAGCAATAAAATAATCTTTATTGTTCACTGTGTACAACTTGCACGCCATAATACCTCTACAGATAATATATGAACACTAAAACTGTCTATGTGAATGGAAACGGTTGATATTGATGCATTACTTCAAGACCATTAGGGTGGCCTACTATAAAAAGCAATATAACTTACTCTTACTAGCTACTTCCGCGCTGTTTCACACGCTCTGCTCAGCTCCTATTGGTCGTAGCGTGATGTTTTATAGCCTATAGCCATCATCGATAAATGCGCTATCCAACACAAAACGAATTATTCAAATCAGACTTGTAGTTACTGAGATTAGCGCGTTCAAACAAAAAAACAAACTCTTCCGCTTTATATAATAGTATAAGATAAGGCACCTTTTAAGTGACAACTAATATTTTCAGGTATCTGCAGCATGGACCTCCGGAAATTAATACCAACGGAAGATATACAACACTTTCTATCAAAGTTCTGCAACAATGACGGGGCTCTGAGTATACACGAGCGATGCTTCATACTGCGTTGTGACGAGGGCCCGGCTAGAGAAGGGTCCAGAAGACCCTACGTCGATGTGGAGATGAGCCTCAAGTATTTAGGAGCTAAACAGGAGGTTCAGGTAATTTGTAGTGACTTAATTTAAGTTTTTAAAGGTTTTGCTTTTATTTTTATAATAACTACCGTGAGACATACTAAAATAAGTAAAAACGCGGGTTACTCACGTGAATATACCGAGAAATGCTCTACTAGTTTCGAACCACAGCGACGTCGCCGCGACCGCGCACGCTGCTCATGAGGAAGAACCCCTATGTGGTTCGAAACTAGTAGAGCATTTCTCGGTATATTCACGTGAGTAACCCGCGTTTTTACTTAATTTTGCTTTTAGTTTAGAACTCTCGTCAACACAATTTTACAATACTTCAATTTCGGCAATGTGGGAGAGCCATGGTTCGGCACAAATGGGCTGGCTCGACCTCAACTGACGTAAAAAAACGCTTGAGTTGTTAAAACTGTTGCAATTTTTCGTTGCCTTTGAAAGAGTGGAGATTTCAGTGATTGAGGATTAGAAAATGGTGAAGGGAGGGATTTGAGGACTTAGTTTAAATACAATTAATAATAATTAGATTGTGCCTGCGACTTCGTACGCGCAATCCTGTTTTCTCCTGTTTCCGTAGGATTTGCAGGGTTTTTTCTGTCATAAAAACCTTCTCCTGATAATAACAAACAACAAAAAAAAAAGATCAGCCAAATCGGTCCAGCCATTCCCAAGTTATGGCGTGACAACGGGAAACGGGTTTCATTTTAATATATATAGAAGATGTGTCTCCGAATGTTTCAGAAGCCCAACAACCTGACGGCTCGCAGTGCGTCCCGCCTGCAGAGTGAAGGCAGGGAGCCCGTGCCGCATGAACCAAACCTCGACTTCCGCAGTGGAAGCTGTACCAACCTCGGACATGATGTAGGACAAGTCGCCTATACTAACTTAGGAGCTATGAATACTGGCAGGTGATTATTAATTGTACTTATTGTAAAATAAAGTTTTCACAAATTACTACATTCCTCAAATTCCTAATCCCCCGTAACACACTTGTAACGCCTCTGGTGTTCCGGGAGTACATGGGCGACGCCGATTGTTTACCATCAGGCGATCCGTCTGCTCGTTTATCAACTTAAATTATTTTATGCGATATAAAAAAATTATTAATTTGTGTTTCTTATACCATTTTTACGGAACTAACACCACCGGTGATTTATCAATATTATCTCCATTTAACTGATATGCTTGGTTAAGAACTAATGTCGCGATGCCCGCCGCGTGCTTCGCTACACGCTAGAGGATTCGCCGCGGGCGCCACGCCGGGTACCGCCACCCTTCGTTTCGCTTCTCTATGAACATGGTCGTATAAGTTTGTGTTTACGCCGCTTCACGCGCCGCCTCGCCGTAAACAGAAATAACGTCGCGCCGCGAGACGCCACACTACACGCGACGCGAGACGCTCCGCGTCTCCGTAAATGAAGCCTAAAGTGTAAGTTATAATGAGGAGAAGGTCATATATCGGAATACTCAAACGCTACTCAATTTTAAGTCGCGCTTAAGTACAGTTCTGTCTCTACAAATTCTTTATAAATGACAGAGATGGCACGATATTTAAGCACCATTTAAAATTGAGTAACGTTTCAGTATTCCAACATTAGTATATTAATTGACCAACTCCAAAAATGAAAGGCTTCTAGCCGGATTTTTAAACGTAGTTCATAAAAGATTTTTGTCCTTACACTATTTTGTCCATTATCAATAAAAAGATAATAAATCTGATTCCAGATACAAGACCGCGTCAGGCGACACAGTCCTCCAATCTACAGAGATAGCGGACCTCATAAAGAAGATGTGTGAGTCGTTGGCAGCGTCTCAAGCCAAGTTGCTGGCGGCCCGCCGCGCCCCGCCACCGCCGACGTGACCGTGCAGTGCGAGGACGGGGCCGAGCGCCGCGATAGTGAACCTGCGCTCAGTACCCAGGGGGCGGCTGATAGGTGATATATCTATTTTTTTATTTATTTATCAAGGACAACAGTATCAGTAATAGTAACAGACGAACAGAACAACAGTAACAAACAAACAGCAGTATATTAAATATAACACGATAGGGCCGAATCACATAACCGCGTTGCGTCGCCGCAACGCCAAAATCGGCAGTTTGCGTTGCGGCGTCGTGAAAAAGAGCGTTTTGTTGTCGTTCGTAGGGTAACCAGTTCGTCGTGATTTTAGACCACCGTAAAAAACTTATTGCTTATTTGTTATTAAGAAGACATTACTTTGCTATGCTGGAACGAGCGCTGCATTGTGGCGCCACAACACAACGCTAAAATCGGCAGTTTGCGTTGCGGCGACGCAACGGGGTTATGTGTTTCGGTCCTAAAGTAATAGATTTAACAAACACACTCCTCACGACGTTGCCACAGATTACCATAAATCTACTTAGCAATAACAATGGGGCAAACTTAAAGCTACCAACTATACAAACATGGAATAATTAAGAATTTAAATTACAAAATTACTTGGGATGGTTGTTACATAGACTATATATTTTTTGTGCACTATATGAAATGTGAAACACAGATAACATGCAAAAAAAACAAAGTGATAAAGAGCCGAATAAGCAAATTAACTGTTATAAACATGTAACAGGTATGTTATAAACAAACGAAATATAAATAAAAAGAGAGAAGTCTATCGACACACACCTTTATTACGTCTTCTTTTGTTTTACAAAATTGCGGGCTCCACCTCGTACATAGATAATCTATCACTATAGACTATACTATGACCATAGACTATACCACAGATACACAACAATCTCTCCCCCTATTAAAATGCACCAAAAAAAACAAAATGATAAAGATCCGAGTAAGCAAATAGATATTAAACATTTAAAAGTCTGGAGTATTTACATTACGGATGAGAGTATTATTGTGGTTGTTCTGTTATATTTATCTATTCTATTCACATAACACAACATCACGCCTTTTATCCTCGAAGGGCTAGGCAGACGCAGAGGTGTACATTATGCCACTGGATTCCTCCCTCCCCCTTGTCACACAATGTCACACTTCGTCGACTCCCTCCCCCTTAAGTTGTGACGTTTTTTATGGATGGCTCCTTATAGGCAGATTAAATGAATGTTTGTTTCTGACCAAATATTGTAATCACTTTCAGGACTGTTATACTGGAGACAAGCAGAAGTGATACCTGTATCACAAAAAATGAAAAAGGTATATGTTTGTTATTCAGTTTTATTTATCAACTAGACGAGCCCGCGACTTCGTCCCCGTGGAATAGTGATTCACAGCTCCTCCCCCGTAGTTGATAGCATGATAATATGTAATGAAATGAAATGAGTTTTATTCGGCATACGGCATGAATGCAAGGAACAAAAAATAACAATACAAAACAATTTTATAAAATAACAATATATAAGTTTAACACAAGAGAGTGAGAATAAAAAGATAAAAGCTAAATTATAAAACTAGAAGATAATAAAAATGTAGCCTATATGTTGACCCGACCTATTAGTAATTTTCATGCAAAATTTGAAGTAAATCCATGCAGCACTTTTTGAGTTCATCCCGGTCATACATACAGACAAACAGACAAAAATTCTAAAAACATATTTTTGGTTTCGGTATCGACTGCAGATTCGCCCCAAGCATTCTTTTGAAAAAATATTCGATGTACAGTTTTCACTTTCCTACGATTTTATTACATGTATAGAATGTATAGATAATATTTTCTCTTCACTTTAGGAGTTCATGTATTACTGTTACATAACACATACAATTAGAAAATAACTATAATTATTCAAACTTTATTATGTGTTTACAGAAATGGTGAAGAAGATGATCCCCGCGTTAGAACGCGACGCCATAATGCAGAAGTTTATCGATGAACTTGAAGACTGGAAGGAGAAACAGCAAGAATTGTTTAAGTGTCAAGTATGTTGCAACATTACTCATAATGTTTTTATAATAACTATCGTGAGACATACCCAAATAATTAATTAAAACGTGCATAACTCGCGATTTTTAGTTGATTTCTCATAATATTTCATTTGCAGCCGACGTCAGTTAAATTGATTTACTTACAAACTTTAAATAACTAAAAATGGTGAGATGTCAACTTTATTCTACAGTTAAGAATTGGCTAGTTTCTTAGGTTTAAAATAAACTGTTTCAACTTTTCAATGCGATAAAAAATTAAAAAGTAATCATACTCTCATCCATTGATTTGACAATTTACCTAATTTTGGATTTTTTTTTCGCTAATTTTAAGGAAATAAGTATGCTGTTTGACGCAGAAACATGATGACTTCATAAGTTGCGATCCAATACAAAATTCATAGAAAAGTATCGTTTTTGACATTTCAATAAAAGTATTGAATTTGACTACCTGTCAACTACCGTCGGACACTTAATAAGTCGAAAAATAATTGATATTTAAATAAAAATACAGCTACAACGTAAGGAAGAGTATCACCTGGAACTATTAGCTAAGGAGTGGGCGAAGAAGCAAGTGGACTTGGAGTGTAAACTAAGCAAGGGCATAGAGCAGTGTCGCAACCTCGCCGCCGACCTCAGCAGAGCTACTGAAGACTTCAGGCTTAGGGGGTACAGGAACTGTGAGAGGGAGAAAAAGGTACAGTATTTTTTTATCTTTATATATATATACTAGCGGACCCGACAGACGTTGTCCTGCATATCCACTTGAATGTATAAACAAAAAGTCATTCAAATTAGTTCAGCCGTTTAGGATAAATAACCTAGAAACCGACTGCAGCGCCATCTGCCGGGCTGATTTGTGAATCTAAACCATTACCAGATCCCCTTGAACACACATAAAAAATATCATCTAAATCGGTCCAGTCGTTTGAGAGAAGTTCAGCGACCGGGCACAGCCCAGTATGTGTCAATAGGCTCACCCCCTATTACATGGGACTCATAACATAAATAGTGAAAAGTGGGTGTTACATTGTACAGTGGCATTAAGTGCTGTAATGTGCACCTCTGCCTACCCCTACAAGGATAAAAGGCGTCATGTTATGTTATGTCGAATTTAATCTTAAATGTATATTTCTATTTAATCCTTTGTATAATAAAAAGATCATGGTAACTACATTTTCCTTTTTCATTACATTTCAGTTGCTAGAAGCCAAGAAAGCTCTAGAGTCCCATTACACCGCGAAATACCAGGAGTTGAGACAAGCGTCACAGAAGATGGAAGACGACATGAACCATCAACTCAAGCTCAAAGACATGACCATACACGAGTTGCAGCTCAATGTAGAACAACTGCAGAAGCAAGTGGAATTGCTCAAGGTAGACTTTGGAACTAAGATAATTGGCGAGTTTCCTTTTTTTTGAGGGGGGAAATCATCCAATGACTTCTCCCGCCCGGGTGAGGCGAGAGGGAGTGTCAGACTCTTACTGACTAAAAACCACCCCGTTCCTACTCCTGCACTTTGAGCCGGAGCCCCGGTAACCCGTTAAGTCTTCCGCGGTTCCGTCTCGGCGATGGCTAGTTTCTTAGGTTTAAAATAAATTGTTTCCACTTTTCAATGGAATAAATAATTAAAAAGTAATCAACGTTTTTATGCTCACCATTTGGTTTAAATGTATCGGGGGACCTATTTCTTCAATATGTATTTAAATAAATAGCTATCAAAATGTTACCGCTAAATGATTTGACACGCTAGAAAATTCACTAATTATATACAAATTCAGGAGATTTCCTTTCTTAATGTCAAACATACAAACAGGACCAAATGCTACATGAGCGACATCTGGTGGCTACAAAAAAGTTTGCTCTAATTTATCAGCTGGTTATAGGATCAAGAGTTTCAGGAGATATTCAATTTTATAGATTGGATATTAATGATGGTAAAAATTAATGTTTTTCTCAGAACAACATAAAGAACACTGAAAAGGAATCGCAGAGTCGATACTCCGGTCTAACGAAAGATCAAACAGCCAGCCTTATACAGGAGTTGGTAAGTTTAAATAAAAAATATATTTTAGTTAATTTAAAAAGAGGATAGAGAAAATTCATAGTCACAATCTCACAATAATGACATGAACTACCCTATTATTTCCCTGTCGTGATTATGTCCAAACGCCGATTAAACTAAAATATAATATAACACACATAATATAACATTACATCACGCCTTTTATCTCCAAAGGGGTAGGCAGAGGTGCACTTTACGCCACTGTACAATATAACACCCACTTTTCCCTATTTATGTCATGAGTCCTATCTAATAGGTGGTGAGCCTATTGCCATATACCGGGTACAATTCCAGACTGCGTATTACAACTGAGATTTTTTTAAATCCAGTATAATTTGCCCGACCAGGGAATCAAACCCGACACCCCTTGCCCGGCAGTCTGTCGCACTCGGCCAACGAGGCAGTCATAATATAATAACTAATAACACCATTTTTCATATTAACAGCGTTACCTAGAAGAGAAACTGGATAGCGCGGTGCAATCGAAAGCTTTCTTCAAAGAGCAGTGGGGGCGCGCCGTCCGAGAGCTCCACCTGGTGAAGCTCGCCACTAGGAAACAGATGCTCTCACAGCTACAACAGGACAGGAAGCAACTCGACCATATGCGGTAAACTTATACACTATTCTTTTTAGTACCCTTAACCGACGAGCATGCATGAAAAGATTGATGACTGTTAATGAAGCGAAAGAGGTATGTAAGAATCGTAATAATTGGCGTTCCTTAGTCTCTGCCTACCCTCATGGGAGACAGGCGTGAAGTTATGTATGTATTCTTTTATCTAGTTTGTCTCTGTAGCTATAACCGGAAAATAAAATTATAGCGAGTAAGTAAGCAGATTTGTAGGCGAATTGAAAAGCAAACAAACAAAGCATTAGCTTCACAACTGACCTATGGTCGCCCCAATTAAATATCCGCTTGTTATATTCCTGACAAAATGTACAATCCTGTTCCTTTATATCATTACGACCTGAAGAATTTATATAGCACAATTATTTTATTTTTATTTTCAGCCATGATCGTCCTACTGCAAGGCAAAGGCCTCCCTACCTTCCTTCCACTCCTATGTAAAGCTTTTTGCTGCCAATCCTTGTCATAGATGTCTAATTCGTCCCGCCATCTCCTTTTGGGCCTACCGCGACGTCTACTGACGTTGAGTGGACTCCACTCAGCAGACATAGCCAGCCCAGGATGCTTACTCTTGAATCCAATTCCGATCGATCGACATTGATATTGTGAAATTTCGTACTCTTGCGTTGTAACACTAGCGCTCTGACTATTGAATGAACTAAATGGTATTGAGTTTGGTTTTATATTCTGTACTCTGAATGCTATTTTAACAGTTACAATAGGGGTTATATAGTTTTGACATTGAATAATTATTGAGTTTTAATTGGATTGCAATTGCATAGTCATTGTCCCTGTCCCACTTCAAGCCTGGGGCTTTATGGCCAACATCAACGATTTTAGTCGTGGAGATCAGCTTGGTGTTCCTAATTCTGTCAATCAAGCAACATATTACATAATAGCACAATTAGAGCAGTAATAAATATCATTTCAATCACTTACGATAAATGACTTTTTAATACTGCTAGGGAATGGATTTTTTTTGCCAGAGTCTGTGTTTCCTGAAGGGTAACCTGGTCTTCAAGGCCCTAAAGAATAGGTTCCTTATGTGCAGGCATGCTCCATCGTAGGCAGCATTATCGCTTACCACCAGGCGAGATTGTGGCCAAACGTCGGCCCACTAACTATAAATAATAATAATAAGCCTTCGCGCTAACTTGCTCGTATTATTTTTTCAGACTGGACACAATAGAAGATGAGGAGGAAATCAATATAAACCAAAATCCTATCGACCTCAGGAAGTTAAAAGACGATTTCTACGTGGACATACTTGCGAACACGCCCGCACTTAACACGCATTCTATAATAAGTTAGTCATTAATATAATTATTTATTTCAATGGTAGCTGAGCCGGTAAACTTCGTAACGCCATAAGCCCCCCTTTTCTCGCCTTTTAAACCTTCCCTGGACTTTCACGAACATTTTAAAACCAAAATTAGCCAAATCGGTTCAGCCGTTCTCTACTTTTAGCGAGACTAACGAACGAAAATTCATTTTTATCTGTATAGATATTTTATTGATGAAATAATCAGTTAGTATTGAGTCTTAACCATACTCGATTGAATAACAGTGGATTTAAAGAAGTTTATTTAGACTAAAACACTACCTAAGTACCTATTTATATTTAATTATTTCAGATCCGGCTGGACCTGAGGAATTGGAGATGTTTAACGATCTGAAGTAAGTATTTATTTTTTAATAGACTTTAAGATCAGAAAAAGTCAAGAGAAATAAACCTTAAGACCTGTATTTATAATACATTTTTAATCTATAATTGCAGGAATGCACCAAAGAATCCAATGAACGAGAAAATTAACGAGTTGATTGCGCAACGCGATCGACTAGTACAACAGGACAATCCAGATGAAGAAATGCTCAAACATTTAAACCATGAAATACGAAGTATGTTGCTTAATTGTGGTACTTGACGATGGATAAATAGAAAATAGTTTAATGCTCGAATTTATAGAATTATTCTATAGACAAAACTATATGTTGTGTACTATATATTTTTATTCTGGTCGTTTGGGTACGGGTGTCAGCATAGCAAAGTAGCTTCTGTTGATATGAAATTGTGTGAAGGATTTTCAACCTTATTGACTAAATTTAATATGAGATTGACGATTGATCTAGTTGTAGTAAAGTCGCGTCTCTAATGATAAAATTAAAATATACATACATCTTAAATATGTGTTACTCAGCCCTAAAATAAAAGCTTTGATAAAGCATTTAATTTTCTAAAGAAATAATGATTGACGCAATGATCATTACTATTTAAGATGTATTTCATTCTATGAAATTTATATCTATTAAGATGTATGTCATTTAAAGGCCGGCAACGCACCTGTGACTCCACTGGTGTTGCGGGTGTCCATGCGCGGCGCTGATCGCTTACCATCAGGTGATCCGTCTGCTCGTTTGCTTCCTATTCCATAAAAAAATGTATTATTAAGCTTTTAACCGACTGGTGCACTGATGTGCTGGCTTCAGTACACTTTTAAATGATAGGTTGGTGATAGCGACAAGTCTTATCCTTGGCTTCGGAATAATTAAAGGATGCTGCAGCGTATATAACATACACCTGAATAAATCCCTCATCTGCTTTTATATGTACACCAATATAAAGTTAAAAATATGTTAATTAAAATAAAATCATTAAGGTCGTTGTTATTGTTATCATGTTTTGTTGTCATAAAGTACATATTGTTGATTTGTTAATACACTTTGTGACTGACGCTGACAATGATGTATCGTATGTTAGACGGGTTTGTTATTAAAAATAAAATGTTTTTCAAATGTTTCTGTGAATTTTCTTTTAATAATAATATGCCTTTTTCATTGTAGTCTATTTTTGGCACTGTTCTCCATGGATATTATTAGTAGGTATATGAGAACTGAGCCGGCCAATAAAAAAAATTTTTGTGCAATCGCAGATTTTTCACACATTGTACGTCACGCCTGCCTTCCATTGGGGTAGGTTTCCCTATACTTTTATATTCTTCGAGGGTAGGCGAATTAATGCTAAATGACAGGATTCTGATATAGGTACCTCTGCCCCGTAACGTCTTTACCATGAGGAGAGTCGGGCCCTGTGCCCAGGGCCTCCACTCTCAGGGGGGCCCAGAGGACTGACATTTTCTACGATAGACACACACCCGCTAGTTTCGCTACACGTTGCGCGGCAACAGGCTGCCGCGCTCGTAGTGGTTTCAATTCCCGCACAGAGCAAATCTTTGTGTGCTTCACAAATTGTTATTTCGAGTCTGGGTTCAAAAAAAAACAAAAACAAATTCCAAAAAGGCCCCGAATTGTTGTGTGCCCCCTTGGGCACCTGAGGCCCTTGCCTCAGCATAGACTAAGACGACCTTGCCTCGTGGTGCTTCTAATTTGGCTTATGTCTGCGGCACATCTGGCATCTACGAATCTACCAAGTTTTCTGTCTTCTGAATAATAGCAAGGTTATTCAATTATTCATAATCATTGTATAGTGGAGTGAATATTCCATATTACAAACTCGACTACAAAAGTAATAGAGAATATTCGATTTTAGTTACGTTCACTATGCGCAACTCTATTTTCGAATGACGACATTTTATTATTCTCTTTGGACGACATGACGTATCGTATGATTGCAAATCATTTGACGTATTATTTTATTTATTAATGATTGATTTTAATCGACCAAAAATTGTAATTCAAAGCTATATTGAAGAAATAATAAGTGTATGATTGCAGTGATAATCACCGACACATTGCAGTATTGTATGAGTGCGTTTTTGTGCTAAGACATGGCTAAAACCAAAGTTACAGGAGCTACTAGCAGGCTGAAGCAAGATTACCTTAGGCTGAAAAATGACCCCGTTCCATATGTGACGGCAGAACCAGTGCCATCAAATATTTTAGAATGGCATTACGTCGTTAAAGGCCCAGAAAAAAGTCCTTACGAGGGTGGCTACTACCATGGAAAAATCATATTTCCGAGGGAGTTCCCTTTCAAACCGCCATCAATTTATATGATTACACCGAACGGACGATTCAAGACGAATACTCGACTGTGCCTTAGCATTACAGACTTCCATCCCGATACATGGAACCCAGCGTGGTCAATATCTACAATTCTCACTGGTTTGCTAAGCTTCATGTTAGAAAAAACACCAACATTGGGCTCCGTTGAAACTTCAGATTTCCAAAAACGTTGCTTGGCGGCGGAGTCTTTGGAGACAAATATAAAAAACAAAATGTTCTGTGAGCTGTTTCCGGATTATGTCCAGGAGATTGAGCAGCAGCTGAAACTGCGGCAGGAGGCCATGCTGCATGCAGACACCACAGCTCCTAGCCCAGGTGAAGTGATAACAGAGCAACAATCAAATATGTATTATATCTTGACCAATTTATTTGTGTTGGTAGGCTTTGTATTTCTTGCATACATGGTAAAATATGTTTTAGTCTCCATATCCAATGATTAGTCATGCTGTATTTTTAATGTAAATATTGTAATTTATTTTGTAAATACATATTATTCCATTAGAGGCAAATTTTGAAGTTATTAATTAATATGACATTGTGCTAAGCATACAGACTATGTACGGGATGTACCTTATATTATGAAACTTGTTTGTGTGACAAGACATTATTGATATACTCAATAGTAATGGGGAGAAAAACGCAAAGCTGAATATAGATGGTTCTATCATCAACGCTGCTTTCTTGTATTTGGTTGACATTTCATATCAACCAAACACTTTCTATTATTATTTACTAAGTTTTTTAATAATTTCACATAGTTACCTATAATAATTATTATGACTGAAAATCATAACTTTTTAAAGAAAATTGGTCTAATATTAACCATGATGCGATTAATTCTTAATAACATGAATTAATCACACTGGTATATTTACTTTAGTCAAAATAATCATCAGTAAAAATTAATGTCTCTGAGTATGGCAGTATATTTATTTATCTGCGATATTTGTTTACTTTTGTAGATGTAAATTAGTATGGATTTTGACAGGTGAGACGACAAAATAAAGCAGATGGCGGGAAGCAGCATAAAAAGGCAGTTTTCTCCTCATTCAGATATTGTAACAAGTTCTAAGCTAAACTGTTGGATTGTATAAACTCATTGCAAGTGTAGTTACCAGCTCTTTAAAATTAAAATTGTATCTCTCAATATCAGTTTCACATCCAATTGGAAAAGCATAGAAAGATCTCTTTTGTTCCAAAGTGCTATTTCACTTTCGCAACTTTGTTTAGTGTAAATTATATGTGTAACATTGTAGTGTAAAGAATAAAAACTTTGTTTTATGATACAATATATTGGGCAAGCACTTTTCATTGTTACTGTAAACATTTGTATTCACACATTCATAGGTTTTAGAATTCTTTGTGATGAATAGCTAGGTAGTGTGTTTTAAATTAGTGGAAGTAATGTAGTATAATGTGATACTTTTTCACTGTTGCAAGTATTCTCAGTTAATATTGCAAATAGCTTTTAGTGTGACAGACATTGTCAATAATTGTCAAGTTATAAACTTACAAATAAATGTACCTACCTAATAATCTCAAAAGTTAATGCTGCTTGTGTTCGTTTGACTGTCTGTTCTTATTCCAAATAAAATAATGAATGTCAAGTTGTTTGAATTAAAGTATTTCTTATTGTGCTGCTATTATTCTAGCTTCATATTTTGACATTTATACAATGTTAATCATATTATTGTCATGAGTCCAAAATTGTTAATCTTTCAATAATCAATATTGAGCCTATTGCTGCATTTAAATTGTGTTGTCCATGTATGAATATTATATTTGAAAAATAAAACTATGTGCTATATAAAATCTGCTGTTGTTTATCACTAGTGCTATTTTAGTGTGTCAGAATTGGGTATGTTGTTGCCTACATACATTTATGTAATGCAAATTCAACAAGTCAGTAAGAAATTAATGTTACTTATATGTGCAAATTATTTTTAAGTTATATGGATTAATAATTTATTTTATTTGAATTCCCACACATCCTGATAAAATAGTACTTAATATCTACAATCATTTAATTCTTTCATTACTTGTGTATCCATTTCCCATTGTAAATTCTAAGATAACAAAATGTATCAATAATAATAATAATAATGTCCTTCATTTGCCATGTAATGTTGCGCACATCATACAAATATATGATTATAATCATTGTACTGTTGATTTTAGCAACTGCTAATTGTTTTAAATCTAGTAAAATGGTATTTTTATATGAAATGTTGTTTTATTTGTGGAAAATAAATTGAAACTTTTATTAAGAACCCATTTATTTATTAACTTAAAAAGGTTTTCAGTATCATTTCCATAATTATACACTATGAAATACATTTATTATTTTAGAAAAAAAATATTATACAATTACATAATATTATTGCCTATTTTCTTGTATACAATGTAATATTGTTAGGATGGATATGGGTAATATAATAGGGTTTACATTTCTATAAAAGTATTAGCACTTCCTGCCACATTAGTTCATGGTATACCTTACAAATAGGTGTGTCCCAATTAATATAGGTAAAATGTTTCATACACATCTAGCGTAAATGTAAGATTTTTTTCAGAATACATAGGTAAGTAATCATTTAGGAAGTTAGGCACACCATAATATACACAAATAAACTTGTTGCTTTATACATGATGCATGTAAATTCTATATACTACTATGCTATACTTAAAATGCTAATAGTACTACTTACAACTAAAATAATATTTCAATATAAAACAGATAAAATGTAAAATAATTTGTTAGATCAAGATTGAGAAAAAATACAATTGATGGTGTCACTTACGTCACATATTTGAATGAGTATCTTGTTACTATTTACTCTTTATCATCGTCGTCATCCCAGTCACTAACCAAGCTTCTGATATTATCATTTTTTGGGATGTCTCGAGGCTTATTAGTGTCTGCTTTTGGCAAAATATTTTCATGTGTGGAGTTATCTGGAATGATATCCTCTTGGGAATCATTGTCCTCCCAATCATTTAGCAAGGATGACAACTTTTGTTGTACCTGAGGATTGGGTATAGGCCCATGTACTGGCGAATCTATTAACGGCGGTAGCTGCATCTCCTGGCTTGAAGAGTCCTCTTCTTGCGAAGAAACTGTACTTTCTTCAGTTTCCACATCTGGTGTCTCAATTTGATTTAGTTGACTAGCCATTTGTTTTTGCATTTCTTGTTGAATGTTTTCTATTGATTCTTCCAATTCTGGTGCATCATCAATGAATGGAATTTTCTGTGTTTCAGCATTAGTTTTAGTGGTTGTATTGTTATGATCCTGATTTTCTCTGATGTCATATTCATCCTCTGACCATTCTAGTGCCAAGTTGTGGATCTTCGATCCAGTTTCTTTAGGATTTACAGTTTGTTCTTCAGAAGGATTGTTAATTTCGACAATATCGTCATATGCTTGTGATTCCATTAGCTCTTGAGGCTGTTGGTTTAGACTTTCAGCATTCACAATACTCTCATCAGTTTTAACAACTTCTGGATATTCAGATGTATTTTTAGGATCTGTGTTCACTTGTGGAGTTGTTTGGGTAGTGCTGTTTTCAATGGAAGAAGATTGTTTTAGAATATTCTCTCTTTCTACTGGCTGTTCAAGTATGTTTTGTAATTCTTGAGTTTGCTCCATAATATTCTCATTTTCAATAGCTTGTTCTAGTATATTTGAAGGTACTCTGTGCTCTAGAACAGTTGCATCTTCAGCTGGTTGTTCTATCATATTTCCAGATTCCATTGTTTGTTCCGCAATATTTGCACTCATTACTGGTTCTTGTATTTCATTTTTAGTGTCCATTACTTGTTTTGGTTCACTTTGACCTCCAGTGTTTATTGATATTTCTAATTCATTTGTTAGTTGTTGTTCCATAACAATATCTGCTTCAAGTGGTTGTTCAATAACATACTCTGTCTCAATCGCTTGTTCTGTTATATTTTCATTTTGTACTGGTTGTTCAATATTTTCTGTTTCCATTGGTTGTTCCTGCATACTTTCTATACCAATTGGCTGTTCAATCATACCTTCTGTGTCCATTGGCTGTTCAATAATAGTTTCTGATACTGGTGGTACTTTCATTGTATTTTCTAGTGGTTGTTCCAACACATTCTGTATTTGCATTGGTTCTACAATATTATTTTGGTCAGTGTGGGTGTCATTAGTCTCACTAGCAGTTGTCGAGATATTGCTTGGTTCATTGTTAATATTATCTTCGGTAGGATTATTCATTTGTTCAATAATTGCATCTGTAGGATTCAAAGCAATTTCACACCCACCTGAAGTGATTTCTTTTTGTGGTTCAGATATCATATGCACTTCTGCAATGTGATCTAAATTATCAGTAGTTGCATTATGTTCAGTATGCTGTTGGTGAGTCATTTGCATTTGTTGACTTTCCAAACTCTCTATATTGTTTTGCCAGTTTTGTTCAACCTGATTAATTGCAGGTGTGGCAGTAGTTACAGTTTCAAAGGTCTGTGTTATCATTCCAGAAGATTGCACAAACTGTGCTCCTATATCACCTGTGGTAAGTATCTGGAATTGCTTACTCTGGTCGTCATGACTGTATACAACCACAATATTAGGGTTATCTGTAGACACAGCTTCAGAGACATTCAGTGGATATTCACTAGGAAGTATCATCATTTCACTAGATGTAGTATTATCCAAATCTATTTTACCTGTCTCTATTCCTGTATTATGTTGTGTAGTTAATACAGCAAGTGTCTTTGTAGTGTCACCATTGTCAAATAGAATAGGGTGGTTTGAATTCATTAACGCTTTATACTCTTCATCATTTGATACCACAATTTGTATTGGTTGATTTAAATTTACAGATTTCTTTAAGATCATACTGGACTGTGGTTGAACATTCTCTTCAATATTGGCATTTTCCATATTAGCATATTCTACAGATGTGGTAGGTTGCACAGAATCTGGTTCAACTATGTCTTCTAGGATAAAGTCCTGGTTGAGGGTCTTTTTTCTTGGAATAAGTTGATTGTCTTTCATGATATATTCATTATTATCTATTACTACAATCTCTTCATTAGTAGATTCAATAGGTATTTTTACATCTTGGAAGAAATCATTTTGAGATTGAAAGTTACTGCTGATTTTACCAGGCTTAGGTTTTTGGTTAGATTTTGGTGTACTAAAGCCAGGATTTAAAATCTTTTGTCTTGCATTAGTGACAGGTTGTCTTCTAGGTGTAGAGTGTTTGTCACTTGTTGATATTTGGTGACTAGGATATTGTATATCCACCTCTTCAAAATCATTTTCGTAGCTTGTACTAGGTTCATATTTAATATTAATTGATCTTGGCCTCTCATCATCAATTTTTTCATCATCAGAAGAGTCAATTATGCAGTCAGTCTTTGCTTCTTTTTTGTGATGTGTTTTAAGATGTGCATAAAGGTTTGACTCCCGCAAGAATATTTTCAAACAGTAAATACACTGTAAATTATTTTTCCTCTCAGAGCTGTATTTGTGACCCGTGTTTTGTATGTGTATTAATAGTTGACTAGAGGATGCGAATGCAACAGAACAAACATTACAGCGGAAATTTCTAATATCCTTATGGGTTAGCTTGTGTTTGACAAGTAGACCCTCAGTAAGAGCAATATAAGAACACATATTACACTTAGGGAAGTGATACTGTGGTGGAGGTTGGACACCATGTTGAGCATAAAGATGGTGAAGCAAGTAATTCCTCTTCAAAGATCTAAGTCCGCAGTATTCACAAATGTTAGCCACAGGTTTCTCATGGTGCACATCTACTAAATGGCGACGGAATTTATAATATGAGTTGAAATGTAGAGCTTTTCCTGGGGTACCACAGATTAAACATATCCAAGGTCCTTTAACATTCTCTGCTCCCATTGCAATAAGTTTTGCAGCCTGTTTGGAATCTATTACATCAGTTTCATAAGTAAAGTCTTCTTCATCTGTCTTCACACTTGACTTGGGTTCTGTAAAGCTAGGAGCTGCAGCTGACTTTGCTTGTTTCTTTCCTTTACCGGGTACAGGATCCAGAATCTTCAACTTAATATTTTTATTGCTTTTGACAAGATGAGGATATTTCTTTAAAACCTCACTAATTATTCTTGCATGGTCCAAATTGGAGGCAGCTTTGCTATCCTTAGTTTCTATTGTTACTTTGGGTCCACCATTATTGTCTAGCATTTGATCAAAAAGTTGGTTAGAATCTCTTTCATTTTCTACATAGGAAGCATTGAATAAATTACTTTCATCATTAAAAGTGTCACGATTGCTCTCATTAAATATACTGTCATCCTTAGATACCACCCTTTTACATTCAACTATGTCAACTGTTGACATACCAGATACTTTCTTTGAGCTTGATGGTTCACCAAACAAAGTATTGCGTTTAGCAGCTTTATATCTCTTCACTGTATCAGGATGAACAACCAAAGGTTGAGAGGTATATGATATATTGCTAAATGAATTGTCAAACATATTTTCTGATTCAAGTTCTTCAGGTATTTCATACCTAGTAGGTCGAGGATCTTCCACAACAGATTTTTGTGGAGTAAAGGAGGCTTCTGCAGATATAGGTGATGGTGGACGGTAAATACTATTAGTAGTCTTGTCACTTTTAGTTATAGTTTGATAAGTTTTTTTGTTTTTGTATACTATGTTGTCAAACGCTTTGCTATAGGAGCGTTTTGCACTTCCTGTGGACTTCTTGGGTTCACTTTGTTTAGTAAATTTCTTAGCACTATAACTGTGAGTTGGTGTTTTATTGTGCCCTTGGTGGCAATGTGACTCAAGAAGTTTTGCTAAAACAGGCATATTGAGGACTTGGGCAGTTTGATACAATTTCTCCACTATTTCCACCTGAAATTCTAAATTACCAGTGTACATGAAGTTAACAATGGGGACGATCACATCCGCCTGCAGGTCGTCCGGCATCACCAAGCAGTCCTCGTACATCTCACATGTTCGTTCCAAGAGTTCGAAGTACTCAGTGCACGCACTGAGCACTAATCGGTGCACTTTTAGCTGGGCATTATCTTGAAATTGAAGTGTCAGGTCACAATAATCAGTCCGGTTAAAGAAATGCTTCAGCCTTTGGAGAAAATATATTCCCCAGTTGTCAACTTTCACTTGCTTTTTTTCCGACATTGTTACAATTTCTCATGCCATATTTCGCTTCCAGTAACACACCGGCCGCTGAAACATAAGTTTATTCCCATTAGAATTCGGAATCAACACAGTTACACGCGAATAAATGCGGTCACTATTGATCCAAAAACACTAGACATTATTTTCATTTCATTGTTAATCGAGTCGGACTGATGCTATACACTAATGCTTTTCACACGCGTTTTACACTTAAAATTTGACTTAAATTTTCCGCCATATATTGTAGTGTTTTATTCATGGAACTTACCGATATCGGCTAAACAGAATAGTTTGTATTTCGATAACTTGCTCTCGTCACAATCAAACAAAATTACTGCACCAAATCCAACACAAGTTGACACGGTGGACATACGTAAGATGGCGGTGTACAGCAGCGGCCTCAATCCCAAACTTGACGCTTGTTGACGCTTCGGTCGAAATGCTGTTGTTAAGTCATAATCACTACTAATTTGTTTGTATGCATAATAAAAAATGTATATTAGTGTTATTTACTAGAATAGAATAAATATTTTCATAAAATTGTAAAATTAGTGTTTTTATGTTGTTATTTATTTTTAAATACATTAAATGTTGTTGAATTGTTCACACTTTGTGCGCAACTATTCAGTGTCGCCATCTGCGACGACTCTGATACCAACTTATTGATTACGAACGTTCTAATTTTACTCGAGTCTACAAACGCTGTGTTCACACAACGAGAAATGAAAATGACGCATCGTAACGGAACCCACTGGTTGTCTATTATTATATGAGTTAACTATATTAGGTCAATAGAGGGCTCTGATTTCAGATAATAATTTTTGCTTATATTTTTGTATTTATCGTTCAATATTTTTAAAAGGAAATAATTTGGATAGTAGATATTCTTAATAAATTTTTTTAAGTGTTTTTGTGTTATTTTCGACTGATTATAAAGATCTGAAAAAAAATACCCTGTGGAAACTGAGCTTTCGTTTTGTGCACTTTGGGTTGGAGAGAGGTTTGTATTTCTGGACTCTTGTAAAAACCTACAAATATAAAATAGAATTTGAAATGGTTGGTGCCTCGCATTGGCGTTACTTCTTTTACTTCTTTGCATCACGTTTATATATCGTTAAAATATAATATAGTTAATCTACATCTACAGTGTACACTATAATCTACATCTACACTAATATTATAAAGAGGAAACATTATATTTTTTGATTGTTTGAATTGAATATGTTCCAAAACTCCGGACCAATTTGACCATTGGAATCCTACATTATCAGTGATGAACTATATTCACAAAAAAGACAATCGTGTCAAAATTTCGATAATGTAATCCGGTGTATGGCCGTTCTTAGCTCCGGGTCAGGTTTATATTAGTTCCTAATTCTAGAACTAGAAACTATTATTATTGAGAAAGAACCAATAATATTTGACCCGGTCTGAGAGTTGAACACTTTAGTGAGCAGTTGCGTGTGCGATGCGATGTCGATTATATGTATACCCGTAGAGGCGTAGATGTAGGCACTACCTTATTTACTTAGGCAGGCTCTAAATCACAACAAGTTTAGGAATGAGTTTGTAACTTGTAAACAATTTCAATATCTAATTTAAGATTTTTAGTTGGCAAAGGCCAGGGCCTATGCTCCACAGCGCCTACAAATTGTATCATATCAACATGATGCGTTCCTGGGAATTTTCGTAATCATATTATTATTGTGTACTAGGCTTATTGTTTCTTTTCGAAATTCAATTTTTAATGAACGTTGCTATTTATGGGTATGTAATGTTTGGAAGGCAGGTATAGCTCAGGCATATCTATTACTCAGTACCTATGTATAAGGCGAGTAGAAAAGTCTTCAATAATAATATGTTAGGAGAAATAATATATATTATCCTAGTTGTAAGAATTTTTGTAATTAGCTCCTATTAATTGTAACATTTTAACTTTATTAATTGTAAAATTTAATTTTGCATGCCGAAAACAGTAGACAATGTATGTGGGACTATTTTTTATACTTATTATTACCTGTAATTACCATACTTTGTGCAAATAAACGTTTTTATTCTTATTCAGACTCTCATGAAAATTTTCTTAGGGTTTGCTTTCTTTTAATTACGGATTTCCTTTTAATTCTCAATCCTCCCTCATATTCCCAATCTGTAAAAGGCCGGTAATGCACTAGTAACCTCTCTGGTGTTACAGCTAGGTGTCCTCGGTTGGCGCCGACTGTTTTACCACCAGGATGTTTCTAGTCAGGTTAACGTACAACATAATACGAAAAAGAAAAAGGCAGTTTACGGCCGTAAACTGAATTGCCTAGAAACTGATTGAATTTTGAAAAGGAAATGTAATACGGCCCCAGGTGATCCATCTGGTTGTTTGCCGCCATATGATGCCATGAAAAGCAATTAACCAGTGTCTTAAATAAAGTCATTCCCATATGTCAACATAAAAACGTCTACTACTAGACCAAAGAGTATAATAAGTATGGGGAATACTAGACAATGATCTCAGTTTTTCAGGAGTGAATGTTGCCACAATTTCAGTTTCGTTTTAATTTCAATTTAGGATTCTTCGAACTGATAAATAACAGGATTCTGCTGCCCGTGCCTCGGGGGCTGGTTGCGGTTTTGACTTTTGAGACACATGTAGGTACAAAATCTATTTTTGCACGGTTGGCACAACTGTTTATGAGATTCACAAATTGTTATTTCGTGTCGATGTCATGTGTATGGGAACTTGTATGATTTTAAACGCACCCACAACACAGGAGAAAATCCTAATGTGGCTTAAAGTTTTAAAAAATCTAAGTAGATATAATAATAACAAGATGTAAAAAATATACTTTTGCAAGGTCCAAGCACCTTAAGGTAAAATCATCCAATTACTTCTCCCGCTCAGGTGAGACGAGAGGGAGACTCTTACTGACTAAAAACCACCCTGTTCCTACTCCTGCACTTCGAGCCGGAGCCCCGGTAACCCGTTAAGTCTTCCGCGGCTCCGTATCGGCATCAGCCCTACTGGGGCGTGAGGAAGTTTGTTCCTTCACGCGCTCCGCCTCCTTCTTAGCTAGTATGATGACTGCTTCGCAGAAGGAGAAGACGGCATCCCAGTCCCCCTCGCTCCGTACCATGGTCTGAACCAGAGCCGGACGCGAGAGGTGGCCGTCGCCGCTCGCCGATCACATCCCTGTGGACACGGTGGTGCTTACCCCACGCAGGACACACCGCCACCGTATGCTCCACCGTGTCTTCCGAGCGGCCCTCGCAGTGATAAGTTCCGAGCACCTAGCAAGTTTAAGGAAGTTACCTATAAAATGTAGGTACCTCCATTGCATTAAAAAACTAAAACTGTAAGACTAATAATATCTCCTCATTAATTTCATAGAAGGATCCAAGACATTTAGTAACTAAAAAATACGGGTTACTCACGTAAATATACTGAGATAAGCTCTACTACTTTCGATTCATATTCTTCTACATGAGCAGCGTGCGCGGTCGCGGCGATGTCGCATACACAATCATTTTTAGATAATTCAGTATGTCTATGCAATTTGCCTAATTTGTTTAAGCCTTTGACTGCCGACAGAAAACTGTTGGGGGTAAATCCTCCGCTATCGTGGCCATACCTTGTCCCCCATGGCGTTCAAGGTGTTAATATTCAACTTTATAGTTTGGTAATAAAAATATCGAATTTTAAATTTTGGACTAGCTTGAATGCTGGTTGGACGTCAGTGTCTATTAGGGTTCGGGATTCATTCGATGATTTTCCGCCCTTAAAAAAAAAAAAAAAAAAAGGGTTCGGGATTCGATCTCTGGTCCTGGCCTGGCCCTGCACTGGTGACATACCTCCCTAGTGGTATCAGTAAAATATAAGATACTTAAAAACCTTCCAAGAGAAACTAAGAATCCCTAATTATTAGGTATATAAGTACTATAAAAGTACTTAGGTGGTCCATACACGTAGGCTAAGCTACATTTTTGATAGGTTAGTAGTACTTAATAAGCACAATTACTACTTATACTTACTTTTTAGATTTTCTCTAAAGCTTTTCAACTGTTTAAATCTAAATAAGGAAAGTAGATGTTAATGAATTAAATTCTGCTGATAAACTACCTATTTACAAATTATTTATTATTATAGTTTATTAGTTTGTAGACACGTTATCCTGAATGTATAGGGTTGAACTTATAAGAAAACTTAACTTTTGGAAGAGGGGTTTTACTGTACAATATGGAGTGAAAATTAAATAAAATATACTTACTTATTAGATTACTGGCTGTTGCCCGCGACTTCGTCCGCGTAGAATATGATTCCTGTTTTATCCCATAAGAGCATTTAATCGGGATAAAAATTCTGTTGGTATTCAGTCCATACCCTGCCTGTATGCCAAATTTCATCAAAATTCGTTCAGTAGTTTCAGCATGATTGACGGACAAATATCTAAATAGCTAATTTTATAAACGTAAAAGTTTCTTTACTTTTACGTTTATAATATTAGTGTGATTATTGAGTTTAGAGGAATATTAAGATATTAAAAATTTGAGGGTAGTAAAAGGATTTTTACATTATACATTCATTCTGTTCCACAAAAACATTTTTGTTTGATTTTTACTTACTGACTGCCTCATTGGACGAGTGGTCACAAGTGGGACTGCCGGGCAAGGGGTCTCAGATTCGATTCCCGGGTCGGGCAAAGTATTACTGGGATTTAAAAAAAATCTCAGTGGTAGCATGGAGTCTGGAATTGTGCTCGGTATATGGCAATAGGCTCACCCCCTATTACATGGGACTCATAACATAAATAGTGAAAAGTGGGTGTTACATTGTACAGTGGCATTCAATGCCATAATGCGCACCTCTGCCTACCCATTCGGATATAAAAGGCGTGATGTTATGTTATGCTTTGAAGCTCTGCTTTAATTGACCATTTTAATTTTTGCTATACTTATTATCTTCTGTATGATTGATGACTACTTGACTTGATTGTTGACTTTAGGTATTTTATATAATAAAGTTTATGGACATTTTTGATGGTAGAATTTTAGGCGCAACCGCAATGAACAACACAGCACAGTAAGTATACATAGTCATTACACCAAACTACTTACCTAAGTATAAGTTAAGTTAAGGGTATCTTGCTTTTAGAACATACAGGGTGTAGACGGAACGCTCCTGAATAAACCGACAGTTGATGGTGTAAAATAAGTTTTATTTTCATAAAAATATGGAATAGGGTAGTTTCCAGGGCAAGAAAATTAAAAATCTAATTAGAAAATATATTAGTCACGTATTTTTTTTTATTTTCTCGTATAAAGTTACAATAACTTTAGGAGTGGGAGGCCGTTACATCACAACATTTTGTAGCACGCTGCGCTATGACGTCACACGACATTTCAAATTAATATATCGTCGAAAGCATTTAATTTTGTAAGAAAAGAAAACATACGTGTCTAAAGTTTTAAATTAATCTATCAGACGGACATTAAAATAAAATTTAGGAAACAAGCCTATAGGTACGTCTCTTATGTAATAACAGTTGTAATCAACTGCTCAAGGTTGAAGTTGCATGAATAACACGAAAAGAAAAACGATCAAAATTTGTAAAAACAATTTCTTTTTGTCAGCGTTCGGGAGCGTTACGTTTACACCCCCTGTATACATTGTTCTAACACCTAGACTTATGTTCTAACAAATAATTTGAAATAATTAGAGTTGATACGTAATCCACGTGAGACTGACGAGTTCTACGTTGTATCGAGGCTTTAGCTCCGAAAAATCTACACAAACGAAACCATTTTGAAATGA